AATAGATTCAGTGTAATCCCCGAGATTCCAATGGCACTTTATACAGAAGCAGAAAAAATCCTAAAACTTAATGGAACCACAAAAGATCCTGAACAGGCACAGCAGTTCTAAGAAAGAATGGAGTGGGAGGCATCACACTACTTGTTTCAAGCTATACTTTAAAGCTATAGTAATCAAAACAGTATGGTACTGGCATAAAAAAAGAAATAGACCAATGGAACAAATCAGGAGCCCAGATATAAACCCAAACATATTTGGTCAACTAATACTTGACAAGGGAACTAAGAGAATTCAGTGGAGAGAAGATAGTCTCCAGTAAACAGTGCTGGGAAAATTAAATATCCATATGTAAGAGAAAGAAATTATTTTATACCATTCACAAAAATTGTAATGTTTTTAAGCAGCAATCCCCAACCTTTTTGCCACTCGGAACCAGTGCCCCTATGAGAATCTAATGCCTGATGATCTGAGGTGGATTTGAGGTGACGCTAGTGCTGGGGAGCAGCTGCAAATAAAGATGATTTGCTCACTGGCCCACTACTCACTTCCTGCTGCGTGGCTGGGTTCCTAACAGGCCATGGATCAGTGCCAGTCTGTGGTCCAGGGGTTGGGTCTGGATTATAGACCTAAATGTAATACCTGAAACTATGAAACTTCTAGAAGAAAACGTGTAAAAGCTTTTGACATGGGTATTTGTAGTGATTTTTTAAATATGACACCTAAAGTACAAGCGGCAAAGTGAAAAAGATAAAGAAGTGGGACAACATCAAACTAAAAAGCCTCTGCACAGAAAAACTGTCAACAAAGTGAAAGACAACATACAAAATGGGGAAAATATTTGCAAACTGAATATCTTAGGGGTTAATATTCAAAATATATGAAGAACTCATACTACTCAGCCAAAAAAAAAAAAAAGCCTAATCAGTTAAACTCACAGAGGACCTGAATAGACATTTTTCCAAAGAAGATATACAGATGGCGAACAGGTACATGAAAAGATGCTCAATAGGGAAATGTAAATCAAAACCACAATGAGATACCACCTCACACCTATTATCAAAAAGACAAGAGTTAACAAACACTGGGGAAGATGTGAAGAAAAGGGAACCCTCGTGTACTGTTGGTGGGATTGTAAACTGGTACAGCCACTGTGGAAAACAGTATGGAGGATCTTCAGAAAATTAAAAATAGAACTACCATGTGATCTAGCAGTTCTACTTTTGGGAATATATCTAAAGGAAATGAAAACACTAACTTGAAAAGCTATATGGACCCACGTGTTCATAACATTATTTACAACAGACAGACATGTAAACAGCCTAAATGTCCATCAGTGGATGAAGTTGTGATATGTGTGTGTGTATATACACACACATATACGTACACGTGTATGTACCATTGTATATATTCCATTGTGTGTGTGTATATATATGTATACATATGTGTAATACTCTATTGTGTATATATATACACAATGGAATATTATTCGGCCATTAAAAACAACGTAATCCTGTCTTTTTCGACAACATGGATGGACCTTGAGGGCTCCATCCATGCTAAGTGAAGACAGAGAAAGACAAATACTGTATTATCTCAGTGACAGTTGACCTTTCAATAAATGGTTGAGCTGTGCAGAGTGTTTTCAATAAATACCTGGACTGTTTTCAGTCTGCAGTTGAGAGTCTGTGGATATGGAATGCCAAGTTTGTGTTATTGCACACCTTTTTACATAGTGGACTTGATCATCCATACATTTTGGTATCTACGGTGGATGGGGGAGCCCTGGAATCAATCCCCTGTGGATACTGAGGGGAAATTAAGTTTTTGGGGAGTCAAAAGTTATACACAGATTTTCGTATCAGGGTTTGACGCCCATAACCCCTTGTATTGTTCAAGAGTTAGGTGTGAATCTGGAAAAAACTCATAGAAAAAGAGATTAGATTTGTGGTTACCAAAGGTAGGTGGGGTGTGGGGGGACGTGGGGATTTGGAGGAAGGTGGTTGAAGGTTTAAATTTCCATTTATAAGATAAGTACTAGGGATGTAATGTGCAACATGACTGTAGTTAACGCTGCTTTATAAGATACGTATGACAGTGAAGAGAGTAGATCCTAAGAGTTCTTACGATTTAAAAAAGTTTTTTTTTGTTTTGGTTACTTTTTATTCTACCTATGTGAGATGATGGATGCTAACTAAACTTATTGTGGTAATCATTTCACAGTATATGTAAGTCACAGCATTATGCTTTATATCTTATATGATGATGTATGTCAGTTGTATCAATAAAACTGGAAAACTCAGTTATTTTGCAATAATACAAATACCGAATCATTATATCATATACTGGAAACTAATACACTATTATATGTTAAGTATATATCATTTAAAAATTTTAATGGTTTGTCATTGTGCTTTTAATTTGCATTTTCCTGAAGTTTAACATGTTGAACACATTGTCATATTTTTATTGGCCATTTGAATGTCCTATATTAAGTACCCACTTAATATTTTACCTATGTATTTAAAGTTAGGTTACTTATTGATATATAGGACTTTTTAATGTTTTCTGGATTTGAGTGTATTCTGGTTTATGTCTTTCTTTTTGGCTCTGTTAATGGAGCCTTTGATGACAAGAATTTCATAGGTCATCGACATGTAAACTTTTAGGTAAACTAGTCTTAATTAGTTATAAATCTAATATCTGTCAAGATTGATTTATAATCAGAAACATATTTTAAAGCCATTTAAGCAGTAGAGTAGATCTTAGTTTCAAAGAAAAGGAAAACCACAGCATCTAGACTTCTGCTCTAATGAGAATGTTTAGATACCATACATGAGTTGTGAAATCAGTTCCATGATTGATGATGTAATTACATAGTTTTATATATGTATAAATGGTGAGGTTTGGGAAAGTAGAGAATTGTGAAACCTCTATCACCGAGTATTCTGGAATTTTATTTTGGAAAAGGTGTGTTTGAATGTCAGTTATCACCTCTACTATAGTCAGTTTCTATGTGTATGTACAATGCCAGGTGTGGATATAAAGAAACAGGACAAGAGAACTTTTTTTCCAATATCACACATGTACCCAGTCTGTCATTTCTAAAAAAGAAAATACAAATATTGACATGTGGAGGAGTATACAGAAGTTGATAGAGATGACTTAGGTTTCATGGAGGAACTTAAATCGAGAGTCACAGACTACACAGGCCTGGGAGAAGTATAGACATGGCCTCTTAAGGTAGGAAAGTGTACATGAACTGACAAGAGGAAGAGGGGAGCGACAAAAGGAATGGGTAGAAATAGCTGCTCCACACCCATGCTTTGCAAGAGATTCAGGCCTGTGCGTGTGTTTTGATGTCATCTATCCCACTGATTGATTGGGAGATGCTGAAAATAGAGGAAACGGGGAGGAGAACTCCCGCATAAAAGGTTCACAGTGGTTTTTAGTCACTGAGGGTACCAAATTTTTTTTGATTTGAGCGTGAAGTAGGTAAGGATGTTGTTAGGGAAATACAACTGTTACTTGAACTTTAAGACCAGAAGAGACCAGTGTTTTTTGTTTGTTTGTTTGTTTGTTTGTTTGTTTAAGCAGAAGCTTAGTATGTTGATTAGATTAAGCATGGCTTCTCTGTTTGAGGGAAAAGGTGAGGGTCACATATAACATTAATATCTGAAGTTTATATTCTCCCAGTACCTCCTCTCCAGCCTTTGAGGCACTACTAAGGAAAGACAGTTTTAAATTCATTAATCCAGTTAACTAGTTTTCAGTTCTTTTGCATTTACTAACCTCCCCCAGTCCGCATACAAATGTGGTTGTAGCTGTACATTTGAAATCTGCCCATTTAAATGTTAGTAGAAATCACATGTTTGAAAAGTAGTTTTATTTTTTAGTCTGCAGCTTAGTATTTATGTAGATTTGTGGATGCTGTGAATAAAATCCATATGTGGTCCCCAGTGATGCACTTCCTACAGGTTGGGAACCACTGATGTGTACTCTAAGATCTTAAGGTTTCTGGAGCCAGTTACGATGTGTATGTGGGGTTTCCCCACATCACTAAGAATTTTTAGATACCAGCTGGGTGTCCTACAATTCAACTCAATTCTGATACTGTGTACCGAGCGATAGCATCAGATTCTACGGGTTAAGGGCTCAGTCCCACAAGACTGCTCCCTGCTTCAGATGCCAGTTGCAAGTTCGGGTTGTCACCTGTGCTACTTACTGGCCAACTGGCTATAGATTGGAGGTTCCAACGACCCCCTCTTTGAGTTCAATTAATTTGCTAGAGCAGCCCACAGAACTCAGAGAAATGTTTTACTTACAGATCACCTATTATAAAAAGATATAATTCAGGGATAGTAGATGGAAGAGATGGATAGGGCAAAGTATGAAGAAAGGGCATGGAGCTTGCATGCTTTCTCCTAGAGCACCATTCCCCAAATCTCCACATGTTTACCAACCTGTAAACTTTCCGAACTCTGTTCCTTTGAGTTTTTTGGAGGCTTTGTGACATAGGCGTGGTAGGTTAAGTCATTGGTCATTGGCAGTCTCCGCCTCTCTTCCTTCCCTGGAGAGTTCCAGCTCTCTACTCAACTTCCTTGGTTCTCCTGGAAACCAACCCTAGTTCTTAGGTGTGGTCCAAAAGCCGCTTAATTAACAACAAGAGGCACTGTTTCTGCTCTTATCACTTAGGAAATTCTAAGGGTTTTAGGAACTGTGTGCCACAAAGGGGAGGCAAAGACCAAATACATACTTCTTTATTTTCTTTTTCCGAGGCCAAGAAACATAGGCTCAGATATGTAAAGAGGTTCTTCCTTAGTTGAAAAGTTCAGTAGAGGCAGAGCTAGAACTAGAAATAGACCCTAGAACAATCTGACTTCCTGCCTAAGTGTTTTCATGCCTTTAATTGCTTGGATATTTTTGTCTTTGAAATAAATTTTAATGAGCTGAAGGTCTGACCACAAAAACTGAAAATCATCATCCAAACTTGTTATTTCCAGGTCTTTGAAGAAACTGGTTTTGATATCAAAGATTATATTTGTAAGGATGATTACATTGAACTTCGAATCAATGACCAGCTTGCTCGTTTGTACATCATTCCAGGAATTCCAAAAGACACAAAATTTAACCCGAAAACCAGAAGAGAAATTCGGGTATGTAATTGAAATTATTTTCAGGTTGCTAAACAGGAGCCCAATTAAATAAAGTAGGAAATTGCTCTTAGAAACTCCTTGATAATAATTAACTGAATGAATTATTTTCTTGTGTTTCAGAACATTGAGTGGTTCTCCATAGAGAAATTGCCTTGTCATAGAAATGATATGACCCCAAAGTCCAAACTTGGTTTGGCACCTAACAAATTTTTTATGGCTATTCCCTTTATCAGGTATCTTCATATTTCTTGAAATACAAAATGAACCTTCACAATTCTAATAGTCAGCTTCTTTATATAGCCAGGCTTTAAGAGTGAACTCTTTGTGTTTCTATAGACCGTTAAGGGACTGGCTTTCTCGAAGATTTGGAGATTCTTCAGACAGTGACAATGGATTTTCTTCAGCTAGTAGCACACCTGCTAAACCCACTGTGGAAAAATTGAGGTAAAGAAATATATTTGTGGGATTCTCACTTTCTGATAATTTTTAATTCAGTAGTATTTTGCTTCTAAAGTTTGCAGAGGTATTGGATTCCTTTTGTAGTTACTATTTTTTTACTAGTCTCACGGTTTTTTTTTTTTTAAGGTTTTTTGATGAGATGTAAAAGGTTAATTGGAATTGGAAAGGAGCTTTAGGCACATTTTTAAAAAGTATACGCAGGGGGATACCAACTTTTTAAATGGATAGAGGAGGAGGAAAAGAAATCTTTTGTATATATACTGTTATTTTTCTGTTATTATATTCTACTTTAGAGATCATTGAGTTTCTGAAGACAGTTGAATGGCAGATATATTGAGGGGAGATGAAAGATGCTCATGTATCATTTATTCAGAAAGAACTGTGAAGACTTGGGCGGGGTTGCTTCTTTTCTTTCCATAGTATTATAAATAGTGACTATTACACGAATCTAAACCACAAAGAACATTTTCTTGGTTGGAACTTAATAGTATCTAAATCACAATTACGGAGTAGGCTGAGTAAGTAATTTTGTTAAATAAACACATATTTTTAATCAGCTTGCTAGAACTTTGCCTATGTTAGGTTCAGAGAGTAGCTTTTTACACTTCCTTTAATTTAGATGTTTTGTTTTTATCCTAGAGCTTCAAAAATTAATAGGAGTAAACCACAGTATTTTTAAATACACAGAGAATATTTCATCTTAGTTGGGTTTTATGAAGACAGGAGTTTGGACTAAATGCTTTAAGAGCCATTTCTGCCTTTCAGAGTCTATGACTATAATCACCAAATTATATACCAATAGAGTTAAGTGAAACAGTATACAAAAACTAAAGTAGACAGGAATGCAGCCAAGATTTAAAAAAAAAAGACACCACTAAATAGTTCTGAAATAATGTTTGGAAAAAATTGTATGACTGTTTATGTTTGGGAAAATCTATCTACCATAGTGTGACATACTTCCATATCTTTAATATTAGGGTTTGTGGTCTTGGAGAATAGGATATAATGAAGAGATAATAAACTAACTTCTCTAACCAAATTTCAGGTTTCTTAGTGAGGGGAGTGTGTGTTTTTAGCATATAGGCTAATGTCTGTGATGGTTTGTTGGAGGAAATATTGGAATTTTGTCTGAAGAAAGAGAGGCTGCAATTTTAATGTAATTTTTAAGTTGTAAAGGGGAAGAACTCTGAAATATTCAGAAGCAATATTCCTATAATACAGTTCTTGGGGATTAGTGATTCTAGATCGTATTATATATGTAAGTGGTACTAAGAATGGTATTTCTTTATCACAGAACTATTGCATGAGTACAATCTTTTACAATCAAATTCTTTTGCATAAGAATTTGAAACTGGGTCTTTTTTTAATTTGCTCAGCCTTTGTCTTGGACCCCATAATTTTTTGCTTTTGGAATATAGCTTAATTTTTCATGTACTCTTCCAGCATACATGGGGTCCATGATGTGCAGCATCAAATTCTACACTTTAAACATCCTAGTAAGAATATGAGTTGTCTGCCCTATTAAAAAGGAAAATCTACCTATGTTTGTTTGTTTCAGTTAATTTTAAGAATAATTATTTTCAGAATTTTAAAAGTATCCTCGCTTGTAGTCATACTTGTAGTGAGGAGGTGGATTTGATAGTTTTAGAAAAGTTTAGGATTAAAAATAACAGATTACTGATTCATTCAAGAAATATTGAACACCAGACACTCTTGTGTGCTGGGGATGGTACACAAAGCAGACGAGAACCCCTCCCCTTGTGGAACTTACGTTCCATTATGGGAAGATAGATAATAAATAAGTAAAATTTGTAATTAAGGTATCGGAAGAACTGTAAGTGACAATTTTCTGATCTGGTTTTTATTTTTAAAATCTTGGTATAGTCGAACCAAATTCCGCCACAGTCAGCAGTTATTTCCTGAAGGTTCTCCTGGCGACCAGTGGGTAAAGCACAGGCAACCAGTGCAGCAAAAGCCATATAATAATCATTCTGAAACGTCTGACCTTTTAAAAGCAAAGGTGAGTGATACACATTTAAAGATTTTCATAACTTTAGATCATTTGACTTTGAAATATATCTGAATTTAGAAATTACAAATTAACAGTTATAGAGCTCTGAACTGTCAGTCAAAGGCTCCTATGTTCTTGACTTGTGATTGGAAGCCTGGGTGAGACTCCTTAACCTTTACAGCTGTGCTATAAACCCAGTGTGGTAAGTAATAGGAATTAACATCTGACCGTGGTGTATATGCTACCAGTGAGAGAGGTTCATTAGCGTGTTGTGTGTTATATTCTAGCATATGATTATACCACAATTTATCCGTTCTATTTTTTTAATTTTTAATTTCAATTTTATTTTTCAGGTATAGTTGACATACAATATTATATTTGTTTCAGATGTGCAACATAGTGATTAGACATTTATATGCCTTATGAAGTGATCCCCCTGATAAGTCTGGTACCCATCTGACAATATACATAGCTATACAGTGTTATTGACTATATTCCCTATGCTGTTCTTTACATCCACATGACTGTTTTTATAACTGGCCATTTGTATATCTTAATCCTTTCTCCTTTTTCACCCAGCCCCTCTCCCATCTGGTAGTCATCAAAATGTTCTCTATATCTCTGAGTTTGTTTCATTTTTGTTTCCTTGTTTATTTTGGTTTTTAGATTTCCACATATAAGTGATATCCTATCTTATTCTGTGTGGCTTGTCTTACATAATACCATGTAGCTGCAAATGATAAGATTTCATATTTTTTTTTAATGGATATGGAATTTTCCTTTGTATATAAGTACCAAATCTTTTTTATCCATTTCTTTTGCTTAGAGCATTTAATCCATTTACATTTAAAGTAATTTTTGATAGGTATGTAGTTTTTGCCGTTTGATTGTTTTCTGATTGTTTTTATAGTTCTTCTCTGTTCCTTTCTTACTCTCTTGTGCTCTTATAGGTTGATGACTTTCTGTAGTGTGTTTGGATTCCTTTTCTCTTATTTCCTGTATATCTCTTATGTATATCTCTTACAGAGTTTTGGTTTGTGATTACCATGTACTTCATATACCTAGCTATGTGTATAGCAGTCTATTTTAAGTCCATGGTCACTTAAGTTCAAATACATTTTAAAATCACCACTTTTACTGACCCCCTCCGCGTTTATGTTTTTGTCATCATTTTGTACTTCTTTTGTGTGTGTCCCTTAATTTACGGTTGTAATTACACATGATCTTTTTACTTTTGCCTTTTAATCTTTGTACTAGTTTTAGTGTTGATTGATCCACTGCTTATATCATGTGTTTGCATTTGTTAGTTTTTTTCGTTTGTGATATTTTCTTATTTATATTTGTATTTTTTTCTTGAAGTCTTTTTAACATTTCTTGTAATACTGGTTTGGTGGTGATGAACTCCTTTAGCTTTTCCTTGTCTGGGAACCTCTTTATCCCCTTTGATTTTAGATAATAGTCTGGCTGGGTAAAGTAATCTTGGCTGTAGGTCCTTGCTTTACATTACTTTTGACATTCCGTACCAATCCCTTTGGGCCTGCAAAGTTTCTGTTGAGAAATCAACTGACAAGGAGCTTTCTTGTAAGTAAATGCTTTTAAGATTCTCTCTTTGTCTTTAACCTTTGGCATTTTAATAATGATGTGTCTTGGTATGGGTCTCTTTGGGTTCATCTTGTTTGGGACTCTGTGCTTTCTGGGCTTGTATGTTTACTTTCTTCACCAAGTTATGGACGTTTCAGTCATTATTTTTTCAAATAGGTTTTTAATCCTTTGTTCTCTCTTCTGGTACCCGTGTGATGTGAATGTTGTTAGGCTTGATGTTGTCTCAGAGGTCCCTTAAACTATCCTCATTTTAAAAAATTCTTTTTTCTTTTTGCTGTTTTGATTGGGTGTTTTATGCTACCTTGTCTTCCATATTGCTGATTTGATCCTCTGCTTTATCTAATCTGCTGTTGATTCCATCTCATGTATTTATTTCAGTTATTGTATTCTTCATTTCTGATTGGTTCTTTTTTATGTTTTCTCTTTGTTGAAGTTCTCATTGAGCTCATCTGTTTTTCCCGTAAGTTCATTGAGCATCCTTATAACCAATGTTTTGAACTCTGTATCTGGTATATTGCTTGTTCCATTTCATTTAGTTCTTTTTGGTTTTTTTTTTTTTTCCTTATTTTTCGCTTGGGACTCATTTCTTTATCTCCTGATTTTGGCTGACTCCCTGTGTTTGTTTCTTTGTATTAGGTAGATTTGTTATACCTCCCAGTCTTGGCAGGGTGTTTTTGTATAGTAGGCATCCTGTGGGGCTCAGTAGCACAGTTTCTCTGGTCACCTGAGCTGGATGTTCCAGGGGTGTTCTTTGTGTAGGTTGTGTATGCTCTCCTGTCATGTTTGAACCTTGATTGCTGTTGGCACGTCAGTGGGTAAGATTGACCCTCAGGCTGACAGGAATGGCTGTGGTTACTGCAGACGAGCTTTTGTGTTGGGCGTGGCCAGATGGAGCAGGATTCGCTTTTGCAAGACTGTGGTGCCTGCTGAGTTTACCCTTTGGATGTTTTTTTTGTGGAGGTAATTAGTTGGTGCTCTAGTGTATTCTGAAGCCACCAGGTGCTCATGTGTGGTCTGGGGCCTTTTGGGCAGGGCTTTGGTGCAGGCACAGATCATCCACCCTGTGCCTGGCCCAGGGCCACCTGGTAGGAACTACACAGTGATCTTTGGTTGGTAGCTGCCTGTGCTGGGCTTGGAGGTTCCTAGGAGAGTCTGTGCTGTGAACTGAGGCCAACTGCTAACTGTGCCACGCTGGAGATCACTCTAGCAAGAGCTATGGGGCATGCTGAGGCTAGCTACTGCTTGTTTGGGGTTTGTGGACCTTTGAGAGAATCTAGGAAAGTTTCTAACACAGCTGTGGCTTGCATGGGAAAGCCCCTGTAAGAGGTTTAGGCAGGGCTCTAGAGCTGGCTTGGGGCCGGGTCTTGGAATCCCCCGTGGCAGGGTGAGAGGCATTAGCCAGGGTAATGGAGAGCTCAGATATGCCACCACTCTGTGCTTGCAGGCTGGGTAGGAGCAGGGCTCAACAAAGGAACAGTGGCATCTGCCAGCACTTCTGTCCTTGGAGAGAGCTGCCCTGACCCCTATACCTCCAGCCTTTGCCCCAAAGCTGGTCAGTTTATTTTCTTGTATGTCCCCAGTGTTGTTTTGTGCTTCTACCCTGGTGCTGGAGCTCAAAGTGAGTAAGTCTCTGCTTAGGCCCTTTAAAACCTGCAGTGCCTCAGTCTCACAGCCTGTTGTCTTTCTAGGACAGTATTCTGCTGCTTTTCATAGCCACATGTTGTTGCGAGGATGCCTTCCTGGCACTGGTGATCTGGCCTGGAACCCCCCATCTTCACCTCCCCACTTCTCAGGGGGGTCCTCTGTTGCCAAGATATCCCTCCTGATTCTTAATCACCACACTGTGGGTATGGGACTTGCCTGTTCTGCATCTCTGTCTCTCCTACCAGTCTTGATGTGACTTCTTTATAGCCTTAGTTATAAAGATTCTGTTCAGCTAGCCTTCTGGTTCTCAGTGATGGTTGTTCTATAATTTAGTTGTGATTTTGTTGAGGAGGCGAGCACAGTGTTTACCTATTCACCATCTTAACCAGAAGACCTCTATCCATTCTGCTCTTAATGGACATTTGGTTGTTTCCAGTTTGGGGCTTTTATGTCTTTTGGTGAGCATATACTGTTCTTTTGGGCATGTGTAACTAACAGTAGAATTGTTAGATCACTTAATATGCCTGTGCTTTTGAGTATATACTGTAAACAATATTCTCAGGTAATTTATATCCCCAGCAAAATATATGAGAGTTCCAGTTGTGCCACGTTCTTACTAATCTTTGGTATTATCTGCCTTTATTATTTTAGCCATCCATTTTGGTGCCACTTTATTTTCATTCTTTTAAAAAATATACTGGGTTCATCAAAATTAAAAGCATTTGTGCATCAGAGGACATCATCAAAAGAGTGAAAAGATGACTCAAAGAATGGGAGACTATATTTGTAAATCACATATCTGCTAATGGATTAATATCCAAAATATATAAAGAACTTCCAATCTCAACAGCAAAAAAACAACCTAGTTAAAAAATAGGCAAACGATATTTCTCTAGAGGAAATATTCAGATGGCCAGTAAGCACATGAAAAGATGCTCATCATCATTAGAGAAACGCAAACCCAAATCACAGTGAGACACCACTTCATATCCACTAGGGATGGATATAATAAAAAAAGAAAATAAGTTGATAAAGATGTAGAGAAATTGGAACTCTCATGCATTGCTAGTGGGAACATAAAATGGTATACTGCCATGGAAAACAGTTTGATGATTCCTCAAAAAGTTGAACATAGAATTTCCATATTACCAGTAATTTCACTCCTAGGTATGTACGCAAAAGAATTGAAAGCAGGGACTCACAAATCCTAAATTGAGGTCTTAGCCCCTAGCCTACAAGGGATTCATAAACTTGTATACCAGTGTTTATAGTGGCATTATTTACAATAGCCAAAAGGTGGAAACAACCCATGTCTGTCAAGAAATGAATAAACAAAATATACATACAGTGGAATATTAGCCTTAAAAAAGAATGAAATTGTGATACATACATGTGGCAATGTGGGGGAATTGTAAACACATGCTAAGTGAAATAAGCCACACACAAAAGGACAAATATTGTGTGATTTCTATTATATAAGATACCTACACTATACAGATTCGTAGAGACAGATATGTACTTGAGGTTGCCAGACCTGAGGAACCGGGGGTGGGGAGTGGGAATACGAGTTATTTAATGAGTACAAAGTTTCCATATGGGAGGATGAAAAGGTTGTGGAAATGGATACTGTTGGTAGTTGGACAACATTGGAACTGTATGTACTGCCCCTGAATTGTACACTTAAAAATGATTAAAGGGATACGTTTTATGTATATTGTGCCACAGTAAGAGCAGAATGGAATTGAATTGTGTGATGACATGAGTTCCTAAACCCCATATTTCTCTACCATTCTTTATTTAAGTTAGCTTATTTTCAAGCTATTTTAGGAGCTGCTTAATTTTTTCTGTAGGTAGATAAAATGTAAATAAATGTGTTTTTATATATTTTTAAATAATAATAAGTTATTCACACAATTTCAGCCAGGTCTCTTAAAGAACTGTCCTTTCAAGACCTCTAAGGACAAATTAATGTTTAAAAACTTGTTTTGAGTTAAACAGGATTTTTTTTGTAAGGAAAATAACTTATGTTATTTAAAAACACCAAATTTAAAAACACCAATCTTTATTATTTTATAAAAAAGAATATTAATTTTAAATTGCTTATTTATTATTTAAAGCAGATTATAGGGTAACAGTTGATCACACCTGCACGTTTCCTCCTCTAAGAACTGTGGCCAGTGTGCCTTAGCATTCCCTCAGAGAGAGGTTTTATTTTTGACAGTCACTTAAGGTTTTCAAACTATTTCTCTCCTCCTCCCATTGTTTTTTAACTAATGCATTGGAAACAAAATATGTAAGTCAGAATGGGATAAAGCAAGAGGTGTGAAAAGATTTCTAGAGACCTTGCTTTGGGAAACACTATCTTCTATAAGAAAAAATATTGATATAGTGTGGTTCCTCAATGTTTTAGCAAGATTTTGAAGATGCTTTGCTAAACTCTGATTCAACCAGCTAAACAAATTCATATTTTTTTATTTTCATATTTTATCTATTACATTATACTATAGGTTTATATTTTTTTCTTATTGCAAAAACAGAATCAAAGTATGAGGGGAAATGGCAGAAAACAGTATCAAGATTCACCTAATCAAAAGAAAAGAACGAATGGAGTCCACAGCCAGCCAGCCAAGCAGCAGAATCTCTTGATGGTAAGAATTATAGCTCTCATACTAAGAAAGCAGTTCACCCTCTTTGAGGGTGGGGCAGGGGCATTCATTGTCAAAGCATGTTGAATTGTTATATTGACAGGATTTTTATGAAGCAAATTGTGTAGTTCATCTACTAAAAATTTTCGGCTGCTTTCAGTTATATAGGCTTGTAAAATTGATCCACTTGTACATTTAACCTTTGCTTTTTTATTTAGTTACTTAAATTAATTTTAATACTATAAAAACAGTGTATAGCGAATCCTGCTTTTCAGAGCAAGTCCTTGGCTGTTCTATCTAAATTCTTCTAAATAGAGTGTATCTTATTTTAATGAAGTTAAAAGTTCAAAAGAACATCACAATGTATTTTTTTTCCTTTAAGTTGATAGAATTTAGAAAATTAAAAATAAACAAAATACAGCCAGTGCCAGTTATTAGATTAGGCCTAAAGACAAATAGCTGTGAGCATTTAAAAGCATTTACTTCCATTATTTTAGTCTGTGCTCCAGAAAGTAATTCATAACTGTCTCGTTTATCTTTTCTGTAAGTCCTAATATTTGTATGTCGAATTTTTTTTTTATTGTTGCTTCACTTATTTTTGTTTTTATAACAGTGGATGGTAATAGTAATTTTAAGTTTTAAGCAGAAATATTTTATATGAATTCCTGTGGTGCTGTACCTTACCTGGGGCTCAGTGAGTCCATGGCAAAGACATGTTAAAGATCGATTTACTGTTAGACTGCTTGCCTTATACTGTTATAGTTTTTCCTGTCAGATTGGCAAAAATGAAAAGCTACCCAGTTGTGTATCTTGAGTATATTGACAACACTTAAAAATTAATAATTAGTACAACCTTCTAGAGAATAGTTTGGCTATATTGAAAGCCTGAAAAAGTTCTTGCCTTGGTTCCCTAAAAGGGAAATGTAAAGAATAGTCACTCTATTACTCTTTTTAATAATGAAAACAATCTAAATATCCAAGAAGATAATATTAAATGCAATATTGTAGATCTATACAATAGAATACCATAATGTAGTCATTAAACATGACAATAGATTTATTGGAAAAGGAATATGTTCACAGTATGTTACATTTTTAAAGTAGGTTATAGAATAGTGTATATTGAATAATTCCATTTTATTCTATAGCTATATGAAGATACATTCACACATACCTTCATAGAAAAAAGGCTAGCCTTCTAGGTTTTTTTTAAATACTGGAATGTTAATAGTAATTATTTCTAGATTGAGAAATTTAATAAATTTCTTTTTTATGGTGTTTTTATATTGTACACGTGATGAAGAACTAAAATTTTAGGCTTAAAAAGTAAAATTAAAACTATCAGTGTGAAAACCAAAACAATAATTTGTAAAGATCTATGCACCCCAATATTCATGGCAGCACAGTTTATAATAGCCAAGATATGGAAGCAATCTAAATGCCTATCAACAGATGATTGGATAAAGAAATTATGGTTCATATATACAATGGAATATTACTCAGCTATTAAAAAAATGAAATCCTACCATTTGCAATGACATGCATGGACCTAGAGATCATTATGCTGAGTGATATAAGACAGAAAGATAAATACCATATGATTTCAGTTATATGTGGAATCTAAGGAATGAAAAGAACAAACTAATCAAAAACAGGCTCACAAAAATAGTGGATAATTTGGTGACAGGAGGAGGGTGTTGAGGGACTGGGAGAATGGGGCAAAGGATTAAAGAAATACAAATTATTAGTTGATAGTTGGGCACGAAGATGGAGAACATGACACAGGGAATGTAGTTAGCATTAATATGATGGCTAAGTGGAGGGCCAGGGGAGAGAGGGTGCAATTGGAATCGTTTTTATGAATGATATAGATGTCTAACCAATGTACTGTATACTTGAAACTAATTAAAATAAATACATTTAAATAAACTTATTTTTTTAAAAAAACACCAGTGCAAGAATGGGGATGGTTATTATACTCCTGGTTTAATTTTCTTTGAGAAATTCAATAGTATATCCCCTTATTTATAATAAGTGAAATAACTGGAGATGGTGTATTGTGTATTTTTTTTTAATAGAAATGTGAAAAAAAACTTCATCCACGAAAACTTCAGGATAATTTTGAAACAGGCAAGTCACTTTCTTTTTAAAATATCTGCCTGGTGGGATTTGGTTTGGTTTTAGCCTAACCTTAATTTCAGTAGAATGTGTGATAAATTGTAATATATAAGCAAGAAAGTGTTGTACATGTTTTATAGAGAGAGCTCATATATGTGGTCAAGTTCTCTAAATATAAAACTTGCTAAAATGAACTTATTTAAATGATCGAGGTGAAATTATTGACCTTTTCAATGTGCCGTTTCTTTGTGACTGTCAAGCCTTGGTGCTATGCATGAATATTGTAAAGAAATAGTTGCTTAAGGGTTAGAGAGGGAGTAGAACCTAGTATTGTAAAGGCGAGGAGACCTCATTCTATGTGCAGTGTAAGATATAAGTAAAGGGGAGCACTAACTTGAGGAGAACATCCTTTTTCGGAGGTAGTGACCAGCTTTTTAAGGTGGTACTGAGGATAGCTTTTATTAAAGTGACATTTGGAACTTCTCTATCCTAAGTTATGAAGAGTATGTGTGTGATCTTATTTGGAAAGTAATGCTGATGAATATAGAAAAAGGTCTTTGGTAATACTGATTTAATAGATATCATTCGGAAGTGCAGTAGACTATTTTTCCTTAGGTGCTATTTTGAATTGTATGAAATTCCCTGTGCCGTAGATAGGCGTTTATTCACCGTCTAATTTAAAGCTTTCATATTAAAAAAAGTCTAAGAAATGAAAAGCATTATAATAATTTTCTTGGAGAACATCTATGATTTAAGTAAGATAAAAGGTATTTTAAAAGAGTTGCTTTAACCCTGTTTTAGAAAGTTAAGGTTAACTGAAGAAGCAGGAACCGTTATTAGTTTAGTGTAGATAAGTTATGTGGTTAGAAATCCTCTTAATAGAATTTTTCTGGCCACTTTGGGTGGCGGGGACATGATAGGCTGATTGTTTAATTAACATAAGTACAGAAATAAATTATTATTAAATAAATAAATTATTTAACACAATCTTTAAGAAGCCCTATGTTCAGGGTATAACTTCATTATACCCAGCTTACTTGGGCATGATATATGGACGTATAAAGTTTCAAGTTGTCTTGAGAAGAAAGTATAAAAGGAATCTTGTCCTGAGAAATCTCATTTCAGACTTTCTCTCAGCCTCTTGGTATCTATCCCAAACCTACATTCCTAGTCAGGTCCCTGCTCAATTTAAAAAACAAACAAAACAACTCTAATAAGTTAGTGCTTTATTGTATTATAGTTTTAAAAATATGGATTTTTCTTTAGGTTGATATATTCCCTGAAGAATTGGTAAGCTCCAGCTTTATTTTTCTAGACTTGGAATCTTTACATATCTTATAATTTTAATCTTTACAGTGCGGTTTTTTTTGTTTGTTTGTTTGTTTTTTTTTTTTTTTTTTTTGATCTCTGTCAAGAAACAGCCTTTATGTTAGCACAGAATATAAATGTCGGAGGTAAACAAAGGTATGCCCATTTTGGAAAACAAGTGAATGGATATTAAGGGTCTTAAAAGATTGAGATTTTGAATGTGTGAAGTAAGCAATAACCGATTAAACTCAACTGAGTTTAGGGAAAGGAAAATATCTTAGTGGTTCTACTTAGATTTAGAGTGTGGGATATAAAAATATACTACATGAATTCCTTCATAACAAATTCCTTAAAACAAAAATATTTTATTTCTTAAGTTACTGAGCTTATTTATTTTGCTTTTTACACAGATGCTGCATATGACTTACCTTGCTCTGGTGAAGACCAGTTGCTGGAACATGCCGAGGGACAGTCTGTGGCATGTAATGGACATTGCAAGTTCCCCTTTTCATCCAGAGCCTTTTTGAGTTTCAAGTTCGACCATAATGCTATCATGAAAATCTTGGACCTTTGATAGCAGCAGATGTGTTCTGGAAGTCCCAAGATCAGAGACCTGTTGCATTTGAGTGGGTGTCTCTCTGAGCCTTACCTTTCTCAGGTGTTTTAAAGAAATGCAGGGAGGCAATGATGTTTCTGCAGAGATTGTTCTCTGCAGAAGAGAGTAGAGAGAAACATGAGTTTGAACTGTAAATGCAGTTAAAACCTTTTATACAGGTGTACCTTTTCAGTGTTTGGCTAATGAATTTAAGTTACTTTTTATGAGGGCATTTTTTTCTGTGATTGTGGTTTTTATTTTATATTCTGATCAAGAAAACAGTGTTTGAGTTATCATGAAGTAGCTAAGTTAATGGGAGTTCTCAATCTACCCATTTCAGTGATTGCAATAATGGTTTCCTTACTTTGAAAATTTAAAAGAAACTTAAAATACACAATTACTAAATGAATATAAGAGCTGAAATGTCACAGAAGTCAAGATTGCAGGTCATCTGCTTTGGTGGCATTTTACAAACTTCTTTGCTTTAATCACTTAGGTTCTCTAATCCTCCTCTGCTTGGAGTTTTCTCAAAAGGTTTTATTTAGAGCCAGCATCTGATATATGTTATGTTCACAATGAATTCTTAGCAGCAGTTCATTAAAGGACAAAGTCCTCAACCTGGAGAAGGACTGAATTGGTTGGGTGGGGAGTTGCTGCTCTAACTTTGCGTTATGCTGCCTGTAGCCAGTAAACCTTTGAGATGGCTGGAGAGAGAGTAGCAGAGATCATGGAGGCCAAGACCCAGCAGCTGCTTTGGTCATGTCTTTACCATCTTGCCGCCAACCCTTTAGTGTTGTACAATGATTTTGTTCTTCTGAAAATTTATTCTATATTACGGTTGTGTAAATAAGTATAGAATACTGACATTATTAGGTTTTACATTGCATCTCAGTGTTGATCTCTGGAAACTAATGTTATATTAGGTTCTAATTTGCATTGTAGCAGAGACTGCCCTGCTTTTACTAAGCATGCTGAAGCCCCTGGATGATGGAGCGAGAATGGAAGGGGTATGCAATTTACCCAAGTACAAGTAAAGCATTTCACTAGGGGAAGATCAGATCATGAAAAACCATACAAAACTCCTAGGAATGTATTTTGCTCTTTTAGGATTCTTAAATCCAAATAAGCATGACCATGCTCATTTTTAATAAGGATTTTAGCTATAATTGAGGACAATCACCAGGGCTTTTAAGGGGGCTTAAGTGTTTGGGCTGCTTCTGACCTCAATGAAGGTATCTCTCTCTGGAGGGTGGGGAGGGGGGAGCATATGCGTGCGTGTGCATCGGTCATGTGGGTTTTAAAAATCATTTTTTTACATGTGGTATCCACAAAATATATCTCTGCTTGTAAATTTTATTGTAGAAATCTTTATTCTGTATAGCTAGCCTATTTAATAGGGGTTCTATTTAACCCAGTGGGGCTTTCAAAAGAAATGCTATTGTAAGGAATTCACATGGTATTACTTTGCTTTAGCTTTTAAATGGCCTGATTTTAAAGGAGAAATTCTATTTATTAATAAAAGTGTCACCCTCTTGGTGCTAAGCAGGAGAATTCACAATTATAACATTGTGTTGAAAATTGGGTTATTTACAATCCTGCATCTTTTAGTGTGACAAATTTGTGAATCCTTCTGTGACCTTTTTAAAAATGCATTATATGATTATGTTTGGGAGCTCTTACTGTTCTTTCCAGAAATACAGCTGCTTTGCTTGGGTCTCCTTGAGCCATATTTATAGTTGGTCCCAGCATTCCAGATTTCTGTTCAATTGTTAAGGGAGTGGAAACTTCGTTTGCCTGACAGGTAAATCATTTTCACTCATTTACTGTCATCTGGAAACCATTTAACTTTTAGAGATTGTGTGTGTGTGTGTGTGTGTGTGTGTGTGTGTGTGTGTGAAGTGAATACTATAGTATGATCAGTTTTCTGGTGCCTAGAGCTGGATTTTTCAGCTCTCACAATACTAAAGCAAGAGATTAGAGAGTTTTTGGCTTTTTTGTTTGTTTGTTTGTTTTTTTAATCAGAAGTATGTCTTCTAATAGTGTTGAGCCTTTTCAAGACCCAACAGATTTTCTCTTTTCAGTTATGGCAGTTTAACCATAGTTAAATGTTATTGATGTTGTGCTGCTTTACTTAATGCACTGTGGAACAATAAGGGTGTTGGGATGGGATTTTGATAACTTGAGGCTTTTAGCTATCTTGACAGTTTGAGATAAAAATGTTAAAAGATGGGAGTTAAAGTTTGTGTGTGATGTGATTTAACTATGCAGAAAACGTGTAAGTTGGATGTACCTGCTTTATGTGCATCTGGTATACTTATTCCCTTGAACCTGTGTATTAGTTTCTCAGTGTTCAGGTTACCTTGAGAAAGGCCATGCTTAGCACAGAACTGGATTTCTTCTTTGAGAATTTTTAGCATGGTTTGAAGAAATCAAGTGATAGAGTGTGCTGAATATGCAATAATTTACTTGTATGTGCTGCATTTTAACAAGCTAGATGAGAATAGTTGTGTTGGCTTCATTCCGCTTATGTCTTTGAGAGAGAAATAGGTCTTTGAATCCACTTTTTAAATGTCGTTATGCTCCAACCTTATGAGTTCCAAGCTTCAGTGCACTGTGAATCTTATTTTTTTAAACTTTGTAGGTGCTTTTATGTATAATGGTAATGATTCATCAGATGTTAAATGAATTGTTTTTGTACTTAACCATTGTAATCCAAAAGATAGGGGTATGGTTTACATGCTTGCACAAGTTTTTATTAAGAAATAGCAAATGAATGGCTTTAGGATTTCAAACAGTGACGTTCTTCTGAGACATGGGCATTTAGAGAAGTCTGAGAATCTAATAGAACTCTTATGAGCATTGGTGAAATTTGATTGAAGATCTATGGAAATTAAGTTGGATTTTTATGTTCATATATAAAGGCAAGTAAGTCTATGCTATCAAAGAACTGTGGTCACTGCTTGCTGCTTTGAGCTTTGGATATCCTTATTTTTCTATTAAATATCAATTAGTATAGATAATGAAGATGTGTAGCAAAATTTTATGCTATAAGATTGGATTGGTACTTTGTCTTTTAGTAATTTGCGTGTACAGCAGTCCCTCCTCATTTGTGGCTTTGTTTTGTTTTCCGCAGTTTGTTTTCCATAGTCAACTGTGGTGTGAAAATAATAAATGGAAAAATTCAGAAATAAACAATTCATAAGTTTTAAATTGTACATTGGTCTGAGTAGTGTGATGAAATCTCACGCTTTCTCACTTCCTCCAGCCAGGGATGTGAATCATCCCTTTGTCCAGCAGATACACGCTGTATATAGTACCTGCCTGTCAGTCACTTAGTCATCTTGATTATTATACCTACTTGTATCAGTGCTTGTGTTCAGGTAACCCTTATTTTACTTAATAATGTCCCCAAAGCACAAGAATGCTGGCAATTCGGATATGCCAAAGAGAAGTGGTCAAGTGCTCCCTTTAAGTGAAAAGGTATATGTGTATGGGAAAACATAGTGTGTATAAGGTTGGTACTGTCCATGGTTTCAGGCATCCAATGGAATTCTTGGAATACATCTCCATGGACAAGAAGGGGTCTACTGTAATATCAAGTAAAAGGAACTCTAAGTGAATAAATAGCATCCTTCGAAGCACGGGGATTAAATTCTTCTATAAAACTCAGCATATTGTAGTGGTCTTTAGAAATGTTCAGATCTAAGTGCATGTGTACATTAAAAATATTTCATTACCTAGTCCCTCACTTTCTTTTTTTGGTCTCCAAGTTAACTTCCACAGTAAGGAGCAAAGTCAATTAAAAAACCAGGCTTTTGCCAAATTATTTTTCTTACATATTTTGGCTTTCTATATTTTTGTACCAGTGGACCTCTGTCTGCTCAGATTTTGTTTTGATTGACATCTTTTGTGTATCAGCATTCTCTGAGATGTTATTTTCTTTGCATATTAATCAGAGTTATAAGATCAGACTCATTAACGTTTTTTTCTGATTGCAGAAGAATAAGTGTTACCTAGTAATTTTGAGTTGGATTATTTTCTAGCTTGGGGAATCTATTGTAACTTTAGATTAATGGTAAGCAAGACAATATCTGAAGGTATCAATATCCTTTACCTTTAACCTGTCTCTAGGTAAACAAGTATTAGTGAAACAACAGTTTTGGTAAATAAATCTTATTCGCAAACAACTGTAGTCATGATGAAGTGCACTGCTTTTTTACAGGAACACAACCCGGAATACACACAGCCATGGTCAGGTGTGTGTCATAGTCACTTCATTTGGTAGCTATACATTTGTCACGAATGGCGATCCATTCCTTTTCATCTAGTTGCCTTGTGACAAACAGCATTTACTATTGAAATAGTGATCTGTAGCTAGGGAAGAGAGTCAAGCTGCCTCTCATGCATGGGAGTGGGCTTGAAGGGCTAGCTTCCATGAGCTTCGTTGCTCAGACTTTAAAGTACAAAGAAGTGTAAATAAAATATTATACTAAAGTATGGAAGTCTTATATCTTGAAAATGTTCATAATTGAATCTTTAATCTGGGTCCCCAGAATAATGAAATCACTGGTTAGAGATTCCATTTGTCTTGGATCTTCTGTGGTTAGAGGGGATGGTCTAGCTACAGTAGCAGTTTGAAAGCAAAATCTGAAAGGAGTTAACCTTGACAAAGTGCTTGCGTTAACTGTGTAGTGTTGGTCAAGAGTACTCTGAGAAAAAAGATTCACTACATAAATCAATTGCCTTTGTAACTTTGTTCCACATGGGCCCTCCTCTTAGTAGACTTTAGTCCTTCAGTTCAGTGATAGAAGGCACTGAATGTATATTTGCTGCTTTATTAGTGGGAAGGTTCTTGCAGGTGTGGTTGGGTGTTTTGGTTGTTGGCTTTTGCCTGTTGGGCACCATCTGAAGACCTCTTGTATCTTAATCTTTTTTCTTGGTGTGACTAGCCATGAAGAGGACATGGAGTCCTTCTCCCCATTCTCACTACCCTCCTTGTCCCTTATGTAGAAGAGTTGTTTTTTTTTTTAAATTTCTGCTGCATCTGAATGGCGACTCTGCCACTGGGAATTTGCAAGCAATGATCATATCTTGCCTTCCAGAGTTGATCTCACTATGACCCTTGGGCCCACATGCAGAGGGCTGTAGACACCTGTGCCATTTTGAGTGTCTCAATGCATGTAGCCGTCAGATTGGTTTGGGAACAAAGAAAACTTCTGTGTGGTTCTAGGGTGAAATGGGCAGTGTTCTGGTCCTCAGTCTTAGTTTTAGACTTTTTGAGGTAGAATGTAACTTTTTAATTTAATCTTTTAATTCATTGAATCTGAGGTTCTAAAGCAATCTGTAGGTGCAAACTGGTGTGGAACATTTTGGGCTTAAATCTATATTGTTAGTCATTTCTTAAGCTTTAAGTTGTTAGCTAGTTCTTTGTAAAATGATTTCTTGGCTAATTATGCTTTTGTGATATTTAAGAATAGCCTATGGATAGCACCAAATGAATGCAAAGTAAAGGTTTTCAACTGAATAAAATTGAGAAAGGCAGTAAGTATTTCTCAGCAGTTTGGTTGGTTAGATGTGCTAACACGTTTGGAACAGATGAATAACAGTGGACTTGCACTCTTCATGGACTATACATATGCTATGCACTGATAGAAAGCACAAAAGACGACATCTGCTAGAGTTTTTGTGCAGTTCGTCATTGTCCTACGGCACTGCTCTCATTTTAGGTTTGTTTGGATCTTGCACAAGTACCTTTTAATTTCAAATGCAAGTGTCCAAGAACCGTCTTTAGTTTTACTTTTTGCTCATATTTCACTTCAGGGTTAGATGAGGAGACATGCTAACCTGATTTCCATTTTATAAATATTATAAACTCTTTTTCTTCAGTTACAAATGGGGAAGGAAAATAAAACCATGAACTATTTTACATAAATATATTTGTGTGTGTGTGTATGTATGTGCACACACTTTTCTTATTGTTTTTGGTTTGCTTATTAGTTTAATACCTTATAAAATTGCCTTTGGGTAGGTATTCATATAATTCAGATTTTTAATTTTACTCGTTGGCTTTAATGAAAATTTCTAACCATCTTATTTCAGAATAAAAGGATTAATCAAGTGGAATTAATAGTTTATGTATTAACTAACTTAAATGCAATCCTCTTATGTAAGGTTGTCTTCCATCTAAGCAAAATAAGGACATATAATTTAGTTTGGATGGGAAAAGGAATAAGAATTGATTTCTTTTTATACCCTATTTCCAAAACAAGCTATGAACCAAGTGTCTTTTATGCTGTAGGGACTAGGTATGTTCATGGAAGATATGTAATCTTCAGTTTTTTGGGGAGTAGTTTGAGTCTGAAAAAGGTAAAGATATTTATAATGAGTCATTTCAAACAAATTTTATTTGGAACTTAAAGCTGGTAGAAAAATCGAAGTGGTTTCATTAAATATATGAGATTCATTTGAGGAAACGACTTTAGAATAAATGCGATAGATTTGTAAACTATTCAGTAATCATTTTTGTCTTATGTGAAATGATTTAACATTAATTTTTGCCTTAATTATAGCAAAGTTTTATTTACCTTAGGACATCTTAATGTTGGGAGAAAGACTAAACCATTGGTGTGATTCTGTCTATAGTAGAAGTAAAATTTTTGGTGCTTGTTTTGGCTAATTGTCAAACATTTAGGGAGAGTAGAAAAGGTATTAATTCCAAGATACCTGTCTGGTTCACTCTGTAGTTACAAGAATTGATACCTTTAGAGCAGGTTTGTTTTTTTACTGGCTGAACAGTAGCTTTGTCTCTTTCTCTCAGTGTTGATGAAAGGCTAAGGACTGATTTTTCACTTATATTGGGTATGACTATCAGTTTGTTTGTGAGATTACTGCACTTCCAAAGTAAACTAGAAATGCAAGTCCTGTGTCTTAACAGTTATTGTGTGTTTTTTTTAAAGCTTTTTGATGTAAATAACACCAGTTTAGAAGTTACAAAATACAATTTGAATGACGAAAGGTTTCCTTTGTATTTGAAAACTTTTTCAGTTGATTGGTCAAATATTGGCTTTCTGTAAAAACATTATGTTAAATTTAGATGGTTTGTAGTGCAATATCAATAAATTTTGCTGCTTGAGCAGTTTTAATTACTACCTTAACCTGTTTTCTGCTGTTACTTACTTATTATAGGTTCCAAGTTGTTCATATTTTGGTTGCATCTCTTTGGAACAATAAAAAATGACAAGTATGAGATAAAGGTATGTTTATATGATAGAAATACTAAAATGTAGAATATTTCTGCAAAAATGAAAATAAAGAACTGGTATGTATTTTCCATGGCAAACAGTTACAGTTTGGTCATTGCTTTATAGGAAGATTATAGTGTTAAATACATAAAACCCAGCAATTCCAAATTTGCGTTAGAAACCAGGTTTTCTAAATAGAACGCTGACAGGCCTTGAATCTCAGGAATTTTTATTTAAAAATTTAAGAGTGACCAACGTGTTCTACTCGTGTCGAGGTACTTTGCTTTGATAGTGAGCAGTGACAGCAGTGCATTGTCTTCTAACATTTTGCAATGCTGTTGCATTCTTTGATATTCATGTATGACTTCCTTATACTTCCAATTCTCAATTATATTCCCTGTTTCAGTGTTTTTATTTTTTTTTTAAGAAAGGGAGAAATCCTTTTAGATAACTTCATATTCATACCAAATTTGAAAAGGCAGCCAAATAGAAATTGGTGATAAATGGGATTTCTTTGACTGTTTTGACCTAATATATAGTCTTTTAGCCCCTTGTGTTTACTAGGGCTTGTGATTTAATGTGAATCATCACAGATTCGATTATTCACCTGTTAGACACACAAATAGTATTACAGAAGGACAGCTTTACCCTTAAATGAACAGTTAAAGTACATCATGGGATTAGAAATATTTATTAAGAATGTAAAATATTATAAATGTCTCTGTATAAATAAATGGAGTTCTTTTAAAAAACAACTATATCAAATAACACAAAGTAGCTATTTTATAGCAGCTAAAACTAAAGGCATCATCTGGAAACAGCATACAAATGAAGAATCTAAAACATTACAAGGTATAGAACAGTGTTAAGTGGCAACTTTAAAATGAGACTTTGTATTCAAACAACAATACTGACAAATGCAAACTTAGTCACATGTGCTTTAATAACTGACAGTACATTCAAGCAGTTTTTCTAATAATTCAAGTGGTTTAAAAAGTAGCATATTTTCAAATAATAGGAAACTTATTAAATCTCATGCAAAGTAAATAAGTCTTGACAATGTCTAAAAACTCATTAGAAATAGAAAAGGGAACATGTTTCATTATCTTTGCATTAGGTTCAAACAAAAGTGGATTCGGGGCTCTCCTTCACTGGGCAGTCCTGACATGAGCACAAGTGAATACTATGAGTTCTACAAACAGAACCTTTTCCATGTGGATTTGATTTGCAAAAAGTGCAAAAGTGGTAGTGCAGGGACAACTGAGCAGGTCATCAGTGTGTATGTGGGGGGACTGTAGACAGCTTGCTCTGTTCTGAGCTGCTGTTTCAGATTAGTGGATGAGTGATTTGTATCTACCCCTACTATGGAAAAATCAAGTACTACTAGTCAAGGATATGGTTTAGCCAATAGCAGTAACTGGGACAGAATGATTTCTTGTTATGGTCACATGCAAAATCTCATTCAGATGCAGTGTGATAGAGAATGTATCCCATAGAACTCTTAACCAAAAATGTAATTGTTTTCTATATGTGAAACTATCTTCCTCTGTACAGCAATTAGCAAAACAGGAATTTATGAACAGCTGCCATTGCAACTTGTACCCTTTTCCACTTTAACAGTCACTTAGTGCTCATTGATGCTGTGGTAGCAGCAGCCAGCATTACATTAATTGATAATTCTGGTTCTAGTTCCAAAAAGTTAGCACTTGACAGAGTAAGGCATATATCTATTAGTGAATACAAATGTTGTCAGACAGTAAATGTTTGAAATGGGAGAATCTAAAGAATCTAAAAGGCCACAGGTTCAGAGCTAACTTCACTCTGACCTCTATACACACAAGCTTCCAATTGACTAAGATTTGGATAAATTTAGTAAGAACTGTATATACTGCGGTCATAATTTTTTAACAAGTTTTACCTCTTACAAAGTAGTGCCCAGCTTCTGAGCACTGGGTAGTTTGCAAACCTCAGAAGTGGTAATTATTTCTTATTAAATAGGCCATTCCATTGGATAAGTAGAAAAATAATTGCTATGATTTAATAGTATCCCCTCCTGCAGAAAAAAAATAAAAATGTTATCCCTTCTCTTTCCTCCAAAAAACAAAAAAACAAAAAAAACCCTCGGCAATCCTTTGATTACAGCCTAATTAAATGCAAAAATTTCAATCATCAGAGGACTCAGTCTCCTTTTGCCCTTTAAAAACTTTAGCTTTGTTTGCTACATGAAATAGGAACAGCTGTAAACTGAGTTAACATGAAATTTGTATTTTAGTTTCATGGATGAGACAGTTATGTATTTGGAAGTGATTTAAAGCTTTTTGGAACCTTACGACTTTCAGACGTCATTCATAAAAGTTTTTTTTTTTCCATCACTTAAAACACAAGCATGATACCCTAAAATCTTGAGATGTTTGAGTTTTAATAATTGATGAATTAAATTGATGAGGATAATTTGTGGGCCATAGGAAAACACCATTAGAAGGGAACAGGCAACTATGGAGGTTATTTCATGGCAGTTCAGCCCAGATCACGTAACCATGGGACTTTTTTTTTTTTTTTTCATTTGAAATGTAATCTCTATGCAGCTAAGAACTAGGAGACTTTCACGTTTTTCTTAGAGTAGTAAAATTCTTACTAGCCTCATCCTAACAGTTTTTAAGAAAAAGCCTTCTAGGCTCTAATTTGGATTGCTTTCTGAGTGGCAGAATGTCAAAGCTCTAATTTAGAGTTCTCGGAGGTCCCTGTAAAGTATTGCTGTAGGCTCAGAGGAAATCTTAGTAAGAAGTGCATGTATCTCAAAGGAAAATTAAGCAATTAAGTTTAACTGGGATTTAGTTTTTTATTAACCTAACATTCCAGTTTTAGGCAGCATGGATATTAACTTCAGAAACCTGACATGCCAGCAGAAGAGAGTGAGTATGAAACAGTTAATTACCTGCGTTGGCAATGATGAGACATCTAGTGTCCCTCTGGGGCTAGAGTGTGAGAAGTAGGAAGGGCATGATAAATGTCAACTATCTGATGACGTAAGATCTTTAATCAAATAATTTTTGGTGAAAGTCTCTAAGAGGAATCTTACCGGCTACAAGTCCATGGCAGTTTTAGAACCTGTGCATTTAGGGTTGGACAGAATATCAGATCCCGTTGGTAGCCTCACGTTGATGGCACTGCAGCTACAGACAGAAGTCTCTTTCGCCTGTGATTTTTGCCTCAATTCAGTTGTGGGAAATATACTCCAGAAGAACTGAAATGGGTCCTGTCTTCCCATGCCCATTTCTCTAAGAGCCAAAAACTGAACTCTGAACAGAGACGGTAATCGCCTAAAAAGGGTAAGTAACCACTGAGCAAACTGGAAGAAAACAAAAATATGAAAGTCTGAAGGTTTTTAACCTAATACAAATTAGAATTAAGATCACTGTTTACCCTTGGTGGAGATATAAACTAGCTCCTTCTTAGAGAAAATAAGGTTATAAAAAAGGAAAATTATCCAGGTTACCTGCAATCATTTACTAAGCAATGTAATTTTAGTAGGCCCTACAATTAACATAACCAAGTACCTACTTACTGGTTCACGTTCAACAAGGATTGTCCTAGGGAGTATTTGAAAAATACAAGGAAAGGAAAACCATCTATTTAATAGCTTTTTTATTCTACACATTTATAAAAGTAACAGTTTTACTAGGGAAATAGTTTTCACTCATTCACCACATATTTAAAAAAGTACTTTGTTGAAGTATAAACTCAAACAAAATGAGGCTAGGTAGGATCAGTAAATACAGGGGCTCTTAATGGAAGAGCCGAGACCTTCTGGGTCTGGAGGGCTTACGTGAACCTACGAGGGTGGGTTCTCTGTTTGAACTTGGAGCAAGAATGGTAGACAGGTTAGCAGACAGCATTTATTCCCGCATCGGCTACACTTTACAGTGGTGCTGAAAACCAAAACCTTTGATGCCTATTCAGTCACAGGAGAAAGCCATAGGTTCCCACCCTGCACATTCTGAGTTTGCACGGGGGAGGACTTTTCTCTAGGAAAGCCGAGAAAATGGGGGGAAAACCATGATTTTGTCTATTAAATGGTTTTTTTTTTTTTTTTGCATGTACTTTTTAGTCAAAATATTTTCCTTGTGACAAAATGAAATTTTACCCAAAGAATAAACTTAACAAAAAATCATAAGAACCAACTTTGACTAAATGATAGACTCATCACGGAAGCCAGTGGGCACTTTCACAGTGATCAAAGCACCTAAGAGCTGGTCCTTGCAGACTGATACCAGTTGACTTTGAAGATAGGGCAGCCTTACCGCTTACCTGAGAAAGTAAGTTGGTTGCTTTTGGGATAAAACTGCTCTGCCCTCCAAGGTGGTGGCTAGAGTGTCCTTCCCCATAGTGCAGAAGGCTAAGGAACTTGTATCATGCTCTCTGAAAACACATTTAATTCATGGACATGTAGACTCTAATGCAATGACCTGGTCATAAGCAAAACGTTGTGAACTGTGGCACTGGGACATTTCTCATAGGGCACTTTGGGTGGATCTTCAGGTGGTACAGAATAAATGGCAAGTCCTTTCAATGTATTAGCGTAGGGCAACTATAGAAGAAAGTGAGAGTAAAACAGTGCCGGTTATAGCAGGAAAGGGACAATGAATTTAAGACGGAAGCCCTTTCTGAAAGAGTTCTGATATGCTGGTCTTGGCCAGCTTTGTCAGCGTTTTGTTTGAAATGTAACCTGCCTAAGCACCATATGCTAAACCATCAAGTCTCTGGGGGGCGGGGGCGGGGGTGAGGGCAGATAAAAGGAGGCCTCAGTGAGGACCATTCCTTCCTCCCCTTCATTACAGTAGGAGCAGTTTGGAACTGGTGGTTCAGTAGCGATCTCTTAAATAGGTGGGGTCAGTCTGCAAATATCTATTCAA